ATAGGCCTTCGAGAACGTCGACGAAGACATAGGACGGTAGACGAGGAAGACGACGAGTTCAAATGTGATTGCGGCTTCGAATGCGAAGACCGTGTTCATGTAGTCGCGGAATGTCCGTTGTACAAGAAGGAGAGGGAAGTGTACGTGACTGAGCTGGGAAAAATAGATGGAACGTACAGGGAGATGTTTGAGGCATGGAATAGAGAAGAAATGACGGTAGCTGTAGTGGGGCATAGGAGGTGGGTTGAAAAGGCGGGAAGGGATATCGTTAGGATAGACAGACTAGGGAAGGCTTTTTTGAGCCACCTTTGGCAAAGTAGAAAGGAACGATTGGCCATCGGTGATCGGTCCTGTGGGAACAATGCTCCGTCCTGTCGAGGACGCGTGGTCAATGGTCTAACCGCTAAGACATGCAAAACGTTAGAGTACGCCCCCCCCCCCAAAAAAAAAAAACTGAATTTCTCCTCGCGAAGGCGGTCCAAGCACAACCACCGAAACCCGAAGCGCGAACCCACCTCCGACGTCTTGAGCGCCCTCGCGACGTCATCCACCAACTCTAACAGGACACGCCCCACCCCCATCCTCCGGCAGTCCGAGCGGACTGCGACCTCTGTGAGGTATAGCCTGCTCAGTTTCGACGTTGTCGTGAAACACGGACGCGGTCAGGGGGGCGGGCGTGGGCGTGGGTGGGCGTGGGCGCAAGCGGTTTCGGCGGTGAGAGGAGGAAATGCGATGAGGTGGTGTGGCGCGTTTGACTAGCCATATTTTCCCGACAAGACAAACTCGTGATAACAGCCGTCGTCATTATCGCCTACACCAGGCAATTGGTCAGCAAGTAGGCACGCGTGCACGTTTTACACGTACAAGTACCGGAAGCGAAACAACCGATGCCACTGCCACATTACGCCCCGCATACCCGCAACACTCATGCAAACACCCTCTTGGACCCAACCCGTGAATCACACCAACCATTCACATCACCGCTTTACCGAAAACAAGCCGTACAAGCGTGTCGGACACCGACTGACTGCGCGAACACGGCAACAACTAACGCCATAACTCACGAGCAGCAGCAACAAAAATATAACCCAACCAACCTTGCGATTTTTGCGCCCTGTTCTTCGACTTCCACAGCCAGAGGCGTGCCATCAAACTCGTGCCTAGAGCACTCCAAGGTCCCCAGGACGTGGCCATCGGAAACCGCCGTCTCCAACGCTGACGCCGCCGCGCTAGCAGTGGGGTCCGCCCCCAACTCTACCCCTCCCCCCTCCCTCTGGCTAGCAGCAGCCCTATCGGCCGCTGCCACCGCCGCCGCCGCCGCCGCCGCTCTTGCGGGACCATCCAGGGCGGCGACGAGGCAAAACGCCCCCTTTCGCCTTCTCTCCCTCATGAGCAAGCAGCTCCTCTCTCTAAAGCGGTGCTTGAGGGTCGAGTGCACCGGGGAGAATACATCGAATCTAACGTCTGGATAGAAAACATCAATAGTGAAGCGGGGGAGGGGGGGGGGGGGG